GTATGTTTTTCTTGTGTGAGAAATGAGACACTGAAATATGAAGGATTTAAGATATATATGGAGAGAGAAAAATAGGAGATAGAGAGAGATAGAGGAAAAGTACAACAGTAGCAAGAGTGAAGATTCAAAAGCTTTTGATCTGATTCCTCTAAGAAACAAATCTATATTGCTACTTTCATTTAAGAAAGGAAATGTTGGCTTTATTTCATTCTTTATCTAAAAAATTCACAAACTCCTCCATAATAAAAGCAATTTACAAGTATAATATAGTATGAAGTTTCATTTTATAAACAAAGCTTATAGAATAGAAATACACACTGGAAAGATTATAAAAGTCATTCACTGTCAGTTGAAAGTTAGTTGACCTTTATGCTCCTGAAGTTTTTTCACAAACAGTGAACAGAAATTCTGCCATAGCCTCAAAATATGCCCATTTTTTAAACTATTGAATGACTGAAATGAAGGCCAAATGAAGGCCATGAGTTTGGCCCTCATGTGTGCTGATGACAATTTCTGCCTTTATAAAAATTATCCTCTAGTATAGAGAAATATAGTTTACAAGTAAACATATATACAATGGTTGATAGTAATAGATACTGTAGGGGGAAAAGTTAGAGTGAAAAGCTGAGTGAGAGGGATGCTGCTTTGAATGGATATTCATGAAAGTTCTATCAAAACCTCTGCACAAGAGCCGGGGAGATAGCTCAGTAGAATAAGCACTTGCCTGGCAAGAGCAAGGTCCTGAGTTCCATCCCCAATACCACAAAAAGCAAACAAACAAACAAACAAACAAAAAACTCTGCACAGAACCTGAAATGAGAGGGCAGTGAGGTAGATATTTGGAGAAGAGCTGCCCCAGCAGAGGAAAGGGCAAGGCCTTGAGCTCAAGAGAGGGAAAGATCATCCAGGCAAAGGGAAAGGCAGTAAAGACCATGTGTGGCCAAAGCAGAGAGAGGAAAGGGAGGATCATTTGGCCATAAGATCAGAACAAGATCCACTAATCACATGGCACAGGACATGTAAAAACCACTGGAAGGATGTGAGGTTTTATACAAGTGTGCAATAAGAAATCATTGGAAGTTCATGGTATGGATAATTTTCACTGCTGTTTCTTCTTTAAATCTTGTACTTTGGTTCATTATGTAGAAAGCCCACTGTACCTGGATAATAGTTGAAACTGGTTGAGAACAAGGAAACCACCATAACAATAAAAGCCAAAAAGTCTGGTGACTTAGACTTGACAGTGGTAGTGAAGGAGGCAAGGTGTGAGCGCATTTGACAGAATTTCCCGAGATGGTTCTGTAAGCTTTGCAGTTCATAGCCCAACCAGCTGCTGTTGTATCTACAGATTTCATTTTGCTCAACATAACTCTAACACAAAAAAAAAGGAATATGCTCCCTGTTGTTTATATAATACAAGTATGTTGTCCTATAAAGTATTTTTAAATTGTGTTTATCTTTAAGTGTTACTTCAATAACTGAACTTCTCTCTGCTGTGTTGCAGGTATTTTATAACTGCACCTGTGTGGGAACTGTAGTCTCTCGATCTGGAAATTTCTCTGGCATGGTGGGCAGATGTCAAAAAGATAACGGATGTTCCAAAATGTTTCTGTATTTCCTTGTAATTTCAGTCATCACATCCTATACCTTATCCCTAGGTGGCATACCAGGATACATACTACTTCTCAGGTGAAGATCAATTCCCCACCTATCAATCATTGTATAAGACATGATGTAATTATAGACAGCTGTGACTGCAAATTCTTTTGTATAGAATCATCATGATTGTCTATAGCTTTGTTTTTTGTTTAGGGAAATTTGTCCCACACCCTTGTTTCACTTTTACAAGCATCAAATTCTAGGTTTTTATACAAACATTTCACCAAAGTAGAAAATTTTGTGTTTGAAAAAGTTCAGAAGCCACTTGTTCTAGAAGTGGAGATGGTGAACATTTTAGAGCTCTCATGTGTGCCACAGGTCCACTACCACCATCAGGGTGTCATTGCCTACAGCACTCTACAGTGTTGCAGCTAATGTTGGAGGCAACATTAGGTGACAGTTAAGGTGTGCTTTAGTTTTGCTTTTTTAAAATGTATTTAGTGTAGGGTCTCACTACACAGATCGGACTCATAGTGATCCTCCTGTTTTCAGCCTCCCAAGCGCTGGGATTACAGGTGCGCACCACCACACCCAGTCCAGCGCACCCTGGGGGTGGAGCTGGCATGGCACACTGGGAAGCAAATCTCAGTCCCTGCATCTGTCTAAGCAGGCATTTTAATCCACTGAGTTATCGGGACGTGCTTTAGATTAAATATAGATTCATCAAAATATGGGAGATACAATTTATAAGATACTTAAAAGCTTAAGTATCATGTTTTGTACTTGCTACTTTTTCTGTATATTGTTTCTGTAACTAATTATCTTGGAGAAATAGTTTTGGGATAACTTAAAGATCCTAATCTACAAATAGCATGTTATTGAGTTCAAATATATTTGCATATAAAATCCTAAAAGATTTTTTACATGATAGACCATATTCTGTATTTTTAATGGATAAAATGATACATATTTTATATAAATTTAAATTGTTTACAGTATCTTGTAAATATTTTATTTGAAAATAAATTTTCATATTTTAAATCATTATTTCAAATGCACTTAATGTCATCCAAAGAATGGTTAATCAACATAAACTAATTATTATATGAAGAGATGTTAATATTTAAAACATTACATATTTCTTCTCCATTTGCACATGTTTATTCTATAAGATTTTATCCTATTCCATTATAATTTGTGCTTAAATATTTTATTATTTAATCATATGGCTCTACAAAAATTATATATGAACTTAAAATTTAATTATTAGTCTTATAACCAAGTCTCTTAATGATATTTTCTTTTGTGGCAGTGTGCACCTGTAATCCCAGCTCTTGGGAGGCTGTAAACAGGCAGATCACTATGAGTCTGGTCTAGTAGTGAGACTCTGAACATCCTGTAGACCTTCCCTAAAATAAAATAAAAAATAATAATATTTTCTTCTAATTGAACTCACTTTGCAAATATTTCTATTTATAGTTGATCCAAATAATCTAAAAATATAATTTTAATGAAATTATTAACAAATGATAAAGTTTTCTGGAAATTAATCTTTTGTGACATAAATTGGTTGGTTTTCAAACTAAGTTGTGAGTCTAAGAATGAATCCTGAGTTTTTATAGATTGTGGCTAATCAAAAGTATTATACACATTTTATATTTCCCACAGTTATAATTATGAAAATTTGATGAGGAAAGATAAAAAGATGTAAAAAACAAAAATCAAAACCTACCATCTGGGGATGGGGAGATAGCTCAGCCACATAAGCACCTGCCTGGCAAACTCAAGGTTCTGAATTTGATCTCCAGCACCAAAATAAAACAAAACAAAACAAAACACCTACAAGTTTACTATTGTCAAAATCATTTAATGGGAATGAAATATCTGTATTTACAAATAGCAGCATGGGGTTGAGAAAATAGGTGATCTTGGTCCCAAAGCTTCCGGGCCAGCACGGGGCCTCTTCAACACCTTCTGATATTGTGACAGTCACCCGGGCCCAGTGAAGAGTCTGGTTACTTACTGTCAAAGCTTTCTTCTTTTTGTAAGTCCCTTAAATGAATCATGGGGACTAGTGACACAGAAGTGCTCCTTCTGACTGGACAAACTCATGGTATCCAGCTCTTAGGAGCAAAACCGAAGTGATACAAAATATAGGAAGTACCTAATATCACAGTTAACATTTGAGAGTTGTGATACATTATCATGCTTATTACTATTAAAATGCAGAGGTCAATCAGTTAAAGTAACACATTTTCATGAAGGATGCTTTTGTTAGTTCAAGTGTTCTTCCAATTTTTTTTTTTCTGGAAAACTTAGGGAATGCTATTCAGCAATAATATTTAGGATGCTCCAGTCCTTGTATCAATTTCGACCACTTTGGCCATGTTCTCTTAGACCAAAAGCAACAACAACTACTTAAGTTTACTCCTTGTTTGTTGTTGCCTCATATTATGGTGACTGTTCAGAATTTTTTTTCTGAGTCTTTGCTAATTTTCTGATTAAGCACTTGATTTTACTTGACCCAGTGCCATTCGAATATATTAAATGAAGGTCATTTTCCTTCTAGAAATGTTAACTATAGATTTGGGGAAGCATTGCATGTAATGGAACACAGCTTTCACTTATTTTGCCTCCTTTATGCCAGAACAATATTAGATTTTCCATCACTCCTATTGGAATTCTAACACAGTTTTATGTGTGTTAAGTAGATTGTTACTAACATCCCTATTTGTTTCAATGGGTCATATTTGTGGTAATAGTGCTTTTATTGTTTTAGGTGCATTAAACCACAACTTAAGTCTTTTGCCCTGGGCATCTACACTTTAGCAATAAGAGTTCTTGGTAAGTATAATCTATCTGATATTTACAGTCCCCCTCATAAGTATATTTGGAGGACGTTTCTAAAAGTTTTTGCAGAATTACTACACATAGCTAATGCTGTTGGTGGCTAAATCCATATTCTTTTTATTTTCTCCCTTCTATTCAGTATTTATTCCTTCCCTCACTTGCTTGGCTCCTCTTTCGTTTGTCCCAGAAACACTTACTGAGGGCCTGTGTTATGCAAGTTATAATAAGATTCTGTTAGAGTACTCACAGTTCTATCTCTTCTAGCACTTCGCTGCTTTCCTGAAATCCACTGTATTTCTGGGCAAGCCCTCAGAGAGGAAACAAAAAAAATTAATCAGTTAAGAAGGGATGGAGCTGAAACATAAATTTTCCAGATATTAAAATGGAAAAAAATTCTTTTGAACTGCTCTCAATGGGCATTCCTAGAATATGACATTAGGTAGAAAGATAAGATCATTTAAACAATCAAAGCAAATGGATTTTAGTAGGTAATTCTGCACAACGTAATTGAATTCCCCCTTCCACACTCCTACACAGAAGCATTTTAAAATAGACATCAGCTATAACCCAGATAAAACAATTCACTGAACAGCTAAGGTTGCTGGCTTTAGTGAACCCATCTCTAAAGAAAAACAAAGAAAAGAAGTAATTGTAAATGTTTCTCTATAATTTGACAGAAAATTGAATAAGGGAGGGAGACTCAGAGATTTTTTTTTTCCTTCTATAGTCAGTAAACTTTTCTTTTTTATTAATTTTATTGAGAAACAAATAGCAATGAGACAGTTTCAAAGCCGATTAGTAGGACAGTTACAATAATTAATACATTGCAAATTGTTGTCTTTGTAGTAGTTATTCATAGTACAAGATGCAGATGTGATATCCTGTCCACAAATACTATCAGTACAAATCTTTCTTCTCATTGCATTAAGAGAAAGTAGCTGTATATCTATCCTAACTATTTTGTATATACAGATACAAAAAGGTCCTTCATTTATATCCCCTTTTTTGTTTTGTTTTGTCAGAGATAAGTATTTCATTGCTACTTATATATTGTAGGTAGGGCCAGGGAGATGGCTCAGTAGAATAAGTGCTTACCTGGCAAGCACAAGGGCCTGAGTTCAATTCCCGGTTCTTCAAAAAAAAATTAAAAAATTAAAAAATAAATAAAAATAAATTAATTAATTAAAAAGTAAATAAATATTGTAGGTGCATGAATTCAGCAAAATAATCCAATACAATCCAGTAGTCCATAATAGTAGTGAGTTATCCATAGGACTGGCCATGTCAGAAATTGTTAACCTGAGCCTTTTACAGCTCAGAGATTTTAAAAGTTAAAGTTAAATTTGGTTCACACAAGCCTTCATAAAAAATGACTAAAGAAGTACAGTAGAATCTTGATGAAATTGGAGAAGAAATGAAAGAGGAGGTGTGTACCATTACGGCTTGCTGCAGCTCTGGAATGTAAATTTAGCCAATTTAGCCTGAGGCTAAAACACATCCCTGCCTGAACTTGCTTCTCTATTTGCCTGTCTTTAGGAGCACAGGGTTAAAGTGGAGAGCAAGGATGATTCAACCTAAAAAAATGATTGATAAAATTGATTTGATAGAATAATATTTGAAAACAACAACAAAAAAACCCAAAATGTATTTTATAACCTGTGAAAAACTTGTATAATCGATATCATATATAAGTAACTAATGCTCCTATTACAAAGAGGGCTCTTAACTTTTAAGAAGAAAAACATCACCAAACATCCAACAGGAAAACGAGTAAAATATATGAGTAGATATTTTATGAAAAATACAATGTAAATCCCTTTTAAGGTAAGAAAAGATGCTCAAACTCTCATTGAGTCAAATAAGAACTCTAGAATAAATAAAACAGCTACAGTTTACTGAAGTACATTGAATATACAAACATAATGGTTTAAAGCATTTAAATGTTATGAATTTTTAACATTCTGAGTGCCATAATAGCAACTCAGTGTCTTAAAATTGATTAATAATGGTAAAGAAAACAAACCAATTGTTTATTTTGCCTTTCTTTGTTTAGCTCTATTTGAAATCTATAAGGACTTAACAACCAGGTTATGGGAAAAAAGAAGGTTAAGGAGACAAACTAAGCTACATGATGAAGAAGCCACTAGACAGAGTGCAGTCAATTGTACATGAAAAAAATGTGTTTTTTTTTTCCAAAAGCATAAAAATTGTGGAGGAGAGTATAAATACAAAGAGTATGAAGAATCATCAAACATTAAGCAGGGTGCTTGCTTGACAAAACCTGACCCACTGCAGAGATGCCTTGGAGAGTCAGAAAAAAAAAATTGACTACTGTGTTAAAAATTAGATATTAATCAACTATTATAAAATGTGTTAAACATGAATAAAGCATAGTGGCTAAGTCTTTTAAAATGACATCAGATGTAGAGGCTCAAGAAATTAGAAGTGATATAGTGTTTGAGATTGCCTTGAAAACAATTGAGATCTGAGGTAGAAATGAAATAGGAATGGAAAATATTGCTAAGCTATTGAGCGGATATGAAGGTGCATTTTATAATTCTATACTTTTACAAACCAAACTTTCTGATATGTTAAACCATAAAGAGAAATATGCAAAAATTAGGATTTCTGTCACATAATTAGGTGCAATGTACAAATAGTTGTCATTTGGCTTTTTTTTCTATATGATTGGATCATACATATAGAAAACTGATTAAAGGAGTCAGATCATTTGAACTGAGTGATAGATATATTTGCTGCTTTTCTTTCCATGGGATTCTATGCAAAGTAGCATCGTCTAGATCCTTTAACATTATTCATTAGTACATGTTCGCAGTACATAATGTTCTAGCCTCACGTGTGGAGTTGGTACACGTTCATAATACAGCCCTACTCCTTTGTTCATCCTGCTGTTTTCCTTCCCTCCCTCCGTCTTCCTCTACCTGAGGAATGTAGACAGGTAGATTTTTCTACCTTTCTAAATGGTAGAAAAATCTCCTTTATCTTCCTCTTGATCTCTTTATTATTTGAGAAAGAACTATCTCCCTCCTTCCTATTATGTATCTTACATTTTTCTCTTTATTTATATTTTGGGTTTCTTATATGAAAGAAAACATGAAACATTTAAGCTTACGTGTCTAATTTCTTTCCCTTAACATATGGTCTCAAAGAACATTTATTTTCCTACAAATGACTCAAATTTATCTTTTGTTGTAAAAAAATTCAGACATAATACAAAGATAGCAAGAATGCTATAAGAACACCCCATATAACCATTAGAGTATTTCAACATTTATAAACACACAACCCATTCAGGACATCTCTCTCTGTCCTTTCCTAACTGACTTATTTAAAATACCAGATTACTGCATTTGTTCCAAAATACAAATTTAGTATGTACTTCTACAACATAATAATTTGCTTTAACTTAATCATCATGGCTTAAAATAATTCCTTAATATTAGCAAATGTCCAATTAACATTCAATTTTTCAGATATTATATGGTGTTTACTTACATATGTCTGCTTTAATAAGAAGTGAAATACGCCACACATGGCATTTAGTTGACAAATCTTTTAAAAGTATTCTGATCTATAAGTGCCTCTCTCATTTATCTTCCAATAGTTTATTATGATGGATTTCAAACTTATAGAAAACTTTTAGAAATACAATAAATACTTGTATAACTTTCCTTTGGACTCATCAGATGTATCAAAAAAAGATAGAAGTCCATCTTCTTTTTCTTTTAACATGCAAATGTTTTGATGAACCATTTGAAAATGAGTAGTGCACAATTGAACACTGCTAAAGACTTCAATTTGAATTCTTCTACAAGACCAAGAACATTGTCCTGTTGAACCAAAATGTCATTGTCATTCTCAAGAAATTTAATACTGGTAGGATGCTACATCTATTCTATAACCACAATTAGATCTCTTTCACGTTGCATTATCCTCAATAGCATTTCTTTCCTTTCAATTCAGAGTCAATGAAGAGCCACATACCAAATTTGTTTACCTTTAGCTTTTTTTTTTTCTTTATCACCAACCATCCCTTATCATTTCCTTAAAGAGGAAAATTCACTTTTATATAGTATTCTACCATTTGGATTTGTCTGCTTTCTTTTGATGCAAAGCACATAAGATACTTTTGGCGAGAATATAAGGTATGATTAAAAAATACACTAAATTTATATGTTTGAAAATGTAATGCAGTAAGAGACACGCTGCATTTAATCCCTCACAAACTATATCCCTACACTGTGAACGCCTTCATCCCATCATTGTTGCCACTTTCTTTTCTTTTTGAATTTTTTTTATTTTTCTTCAAAACCGGGGATTGAACTCAGGCCTTGTGCTTGCCAAGGAAGCGCTTATTCCACTGAGCCATCTCCCCGGCCCCTGTTGCCACTGTCTGAAGCATTTCTGGACATGCTCCTTCAAGAGTGCCTTTCATAGTGCTGCCTGACTTCCTTGACATCCTGACTTCACTAAAAATGTTAATGTTTCATGGTTGGTTTGACATTGGGGAAGAAGGGAAAGAAGCCATGTGATGCTAGTCCAGGGAATAAATTGGATGACGACCTACAGTAGTGTTTTGAGACTCCTGCCTTTCCCTACTCAGCAGCCACATTCACCATATAATTTATGGTACCTTTAAATGACACAATGGATACATTTCAGAATGGCTTTAGAAAGTTAAAAATGATAGGATCATTATGTTTGAGGGGAATATGTTCATGGAAATTTGTAGCAGTAATTTTTACTATAATAATTTTTAATTTATACATTTACTGTGTATAGTTTGTGTGTGTGTGTGTGTGTGTGTGTGTGTGTGTGTGTGTGTGTGTGTGTGTATTTGCTACAGGGTCTCACTACACAGCTCAGACTCCTAGTGACCCTCCTGCACTGGGATTATAGGCGTGTGCCACCACACCTTGACTCAGTGGCTGGCTCAGTATGTCAGGAGGCAGGGCTGGTGCTGCATATGGTGCTGGGGTTTGAACCCTGGTTCCTGTGCTTTCCTAAGCAGCTGCTTAGTCTGCTGAGCTATCTCACCAGCCCTACTTTATGTATTTTGATACAAATACATAAATGAACCAAATACATAAATTTAAAAAAGGAACAAGACGGATTAATGTAGTTTTGCTCATCAGAATAATCTTTCTTAAGGGAACGCATTTAAACTGAGATTCAAATGGATTGTACTGAGAAAAGGAAGAAGAGAAAAGTGATTCAAATGGAGAAAGCTTCCTGTCATTCAGGCAAGAGGAGAAAACATTCTAAGCATTGAAAGAAATTCAGTAATATTAAAATTTAGATAGAAGATAATGAATATTTTCCAAAAGAAGGCCAGAGATATCAATGGGGCCCAGTGCTCCATTGACTACTCTTGTTGAAAAACACAAGTCTTGGAATATTATTTGTGTAGCTGAATGATTTCACATCCATATGGCCAGTTGGTTAGAGCAGACTGAGGGAGAAGACAAACAATAAATTGGCTCTTGCTTTAAATTTAGAAGAACAAGAAGGAAGGAAGGAACTTCAGGTATAAACAGGAGACAGAACTGGCAGGGTTAGAAAAGGGTTAAATATGGTAACGACAAGAGAGAGGGGCGTGTAGAAGGATCATAGAAGATTCCAGAGCTCGTACCTTGAGCAAGTGCATCCGACTAATAAAGAAGCAGGTAAGGGAGGACGGAATGGTTTGAAGTGCCTTGGAGCCGTCCTTTTGGAGGCTAACGAGAGAGCAGTTATTGATCAATCTACAGCATTTGAGCAGAGACTAAGAGTTTGTATAGATATCACCTTGTTAGTGGGGGCCTTCCATCTCCCAAGCAGAAATCATCAAAGCAAATGTAAGTAGTCATTCGTAATAATAAAAATACATTTATACAGTTTTGGTAGCAACAGTCTGTTTTTCTCACAGCAGGAATCCCAGCGCCAGTATATTTTGGAGTTTTGATCGACACTTCTTGCCTTAAATGGGGATTTAAAAGGTGTGGAAACAGAGGATCCTGCAGATTATATGACTCACATGCCTTCAGGTATCACATGCAATGCATTCCCACATTTCACTGCTACAAAAATTTCATTCAAAGCCATGGACATTAATAATTCCCTCTGTAGTTTCACTCCTTCTAACATACATAGTAGTCCAATAAAAAACTGTGATCTCTTTCATAGAATAATTTTATTATTTAATTATATTGCTAGATGTTTTGCTTTTACCTATTATTCACATTGATTCCTATATTAAAAAATGTGATTGTTTTTAAAATATGATGAAAGATGCAGAACAGAGTAGCAGTGTGAAAGTTTGTGCACAAGAATGGCTAAGTCATTCTCTGAAACTCAGAAACATTTAAATTTAGGTCACATTTTGAGTTTAATTCTATTCTTTTTCAAACTGAGCCCAACTGTACCATTTACGTCAGACATAATCCCCCTGGGCAAGTGTTGGATTTGGCTCTAAATCTGTCTGGTTCTTACTGCCAAACTGATGTTCAATTATTCCAGTACTTGAAGTGCATAAAAGTAAAACATTTCCTCTGTGTGGGGGAGTGTGTATAGGGGTAGGGGAAGTGGCTTCCCTACTATGGTATCATTCAGTTCACTTCACCAGACATTGAGTTCCCTTGTTGCTGAAAGAAATGCTTCAATGGCTTAAAAGCTAGAAGTTCTAAGGCACTTACAAACTGAGCATATTTTAGAAAAATAAACTTGGGACTTAACCGTCTAAGTAGGATGGGAATTGGGCAGACCATCACAAATGGGTTTGCCTGATTTAATAGGCTTTGATGTCTCGTGTGAAATATAGTTTAGTCTTTAAAAAGGACTGGATCTCCGAGTATAATTTGAACTTAACTCACATTTGGGAAAGCTGTGTTCACTTTAATGTGGAAACTGTAATTCAGTCGCTCATCTGGTGCAGCCAGCATTAGACATTTAACCTGTCCTTTCACACCTTGGCATTTTCAGTAGTGTAGAACTAAAAGTTTCTCATGGAAGAAATTGGTTTAGATCTAAGGTTTCTTATTCTTTTTGTTTTCTTGGTACCCAGGATTAAACACAGAACCTTGCACTTGCCAGGCATGGCATATGCCATTAAGCTATATCCCTGGACCTTCAGGTTTATTCTGTAAAAGTCTTTTATTTATTTATTACAGGGTCTTGCTATACAGCGTAGACTCATAGTGATCCTCTTGTCTCAGCTGCCCCAGTGCTGCGATTACAGGCACCCACCACCACTCCTGGTTTCGTTGGCCAGCTTGGTGTGAGGCCAGCATGCCATGTGGTACTGGGGATAGAACCCAGGTCCTTGTGCTTAACAGGCAGGTGCATAGACTGCCAATCTATCTCCCTGGCCCCAGGTTTATTCTTGAATCATTTTGCTTTACTGAATGGTGTGATTCCCTTTAGCGCTGCTTAATGCAGTTTTTCCATAGAAATAAACCTGGGAAGGGTCTAGGGATAAGGTAACCAAATAATTTATCACTCAAGCCTGGAGTGAAAGGGAACACCATTAAAATTATACTGTGCAGCACTCAGTCTACTCTGGGTAAACAGGGATCCTGTCACCTGGTCTCAGGGACTCATTGACAATGAGAATAGTAAAGGAAAATGATGGCACTGCTAAGAACTTGCTTATGTTAATGGGCTCCTTAAGTGGTTCAGTAAAGTTCACAGAGGGTCTTCTAGAGTCACTAATCCATTATAAATCTGCCTTTTTCAAAAGAGCCATCAGACTATACTATTACCTGCCCTTTACATTTGATTTTAGGTTGAGCAGTTGAAATAACTATGACAGATTTGCTTTCTCTTTTAGGTACATCTATCTAGGACTGACAACAATTCTGGGCACACTGTCCATTTTTCTAAGCATCGCAGTACTTTTGACTTTAAAGAAAAATTATGTCTCAAAACGCAGGAGCTTCATAAACAAAAGAGACAAAACAATGGTTTCTACAAGATTCAGGAAAAATAATCATTCTACAAGTGATCATTTGCTACATCCCAGCTACTGGCCGGGCAAGGAAACACGACTGTAAGGGAGGATGCTGGAAGCCCTTGTACACCAAGTGGAGTTACAAGGATTTTCAATGTGTAATGTCTTTGTGCCTTCAAAACAATTTTACTTTGTTTTTGACAGTAGGCATTAGATTATATACCCAATAATAAATCTCATTAAACATATATCAGGAGAAGCAGACAAACTAATTTAAAATTTTTTAATTTATATCAAACTCTTTGTATGACTTATGCATTTTGCTTTGTATTCACTAACATATAAGCTCTGTTCCTAGTACAACAATCATTTCTATTGTCTGACAATTGTATAGAAAATAATTTCTAAATTAAGTTATTTGTCCAGAGTAATAAGACATTGTTAAAAATTAAGCTCCATCTTGGCCTCTTTCAAGTATCTCCTTAATGTTAATGCTAGGGTTCAATCACAACACAGACAGGAAGATTTTATTGTTAAGCTCCTCTTTTCTTTTTAAATATAAAAATTAATGTACAAATGTGTTGTGGTAAAGTGACCTTGAGGAATTGAAAGTTTTGGGTTATTATTAGTCATTCTAATTATTTATATATACTTTTGGTGTGACACCATCAGTGACCATTGATGTAAAGTAATAAAGTTAATTTAGATGTGTTTATTGTCCTATGAACTCAATCAATTAAATCATTATTAATAAATTAATATATTATTAAGTGTATATCCCTTCTTGTGCACATAATACGTTCCTTCATGTGTTTGGAAGTTGCATTTCTGAAAGTTTTCAATAAACTTCAGTATTATAACAGGAAAGGAGAGGGGTGGGTTGGAAGATGGTGAGGTGAGATGTCTTGCATTTTCTTTTCCACAAGGAGCTAGTAATTCCAAGGCTGAAAGCTGCTATTGCTACTGCTAACGGACAAATTCTATTTTTCCACAACTGGAAGATTCAACCTGAGAGTTTCTTCTTGCCTGGCCTCTTGTTTTCTTGTCTTCTTTTGATTAGGGTTCGGAGGCCCAGTGTAGCACCTTCTTTAATCTTCAGGTCCATTGGGTACTATAGCTTTATCAGTTTGCTGTAACTTTCAAGACCAGAAAATTAGACTGAAGACAGGAAGCACTTCAGGGAGGCATGTGACGCATACTGTTCAGATAATGCCAGCTCATGGTCAGATGGTGTCTATATATTTTAAACTTCATACAGTCAAGAGAAAAGACCAAGTAAAAGTAAAAGTTTGGCTAGGAAAGGAAGAGTACAGAAATTTCAGTATCAGTGGGGTCACAGGGTGCCTCAGCTGTAGAGAAGGAGGAACTTTATTTACCAAAAAGATTCTCAAAGGGCCGGCCAAATAGCTCAGCTGATTAAACTGCCCTCAAGCAGGTGCAGGGGCCAGAGGTTCAATCCCCAGGCCTGCTGTGCTGGCCCTGCCCCCAGGGAACACTGAGAAGGTGATTGAGACTGGGGGTGGTGGTGCATGCCTGTAATCCCAGCTTTTGGGAGGCAGTAAACAAGCGGATGACTACGAGTCTGATGTAGTAGTGAGACCCCAACCACCCTGTAGATCCTCCCTACAAGACAAAAAAAGATTTTCAAGGTCAGAAAGGGGGCCACCATTTTATTATGTACCAACCAGTCTAAAAGCTGGATGATTTAATCTTTGCAGAATTTTTGCTAATAGCATCTTCATTTTATAGATGACTCAGTTGAAATGAGAGAGCATATAAATTACTCAAGCTTGGTGAGGCATAGCCATAATCAAACCCAATTTCAAATATAAAATCATTTCTACCACATGCGTTTGACCCCATGCAATACTGTAGTACTAAGAACCCTGCATGGCAATACAAAGTACATTGTAAATATCTCTGAACGATTTTATTTCACTACAGCAGTTTGCTTTGATGGTCATCCCTGTATTTCAACATCATGTACAATTAAAAATCTTATGAACTACAGAAATAATTTACTTAATATATTTTTTCTTCAAATATTATTGACTTAAGAGTAGGAAATACCAACTTTTGAATAGATAACTCAAAGTGTGCTATTTAAAATTAAGCCACATGATTAAGAGATACCTTTTAGAATTGTGGAGACTGATAATTGCACCATAACTCTTAGTAACCTTTAGAACAAATAAAACACATAAACAGACTCTCCCAACAAAGTCTGTTTGCTGTTTCTTGGATCCTAAGTTCAGTGAGAAGTGTCAGCTCAAAAGTGCAGTAACCTTACTGGAAGGGTGCGGACTAAATGATTTGAAATCTTTTAAACTTCCCTTCATAAAATCAGATGAGCATTTATTTCTAATAGGCCTAGTTCAACCCTGCTGCTGCCCTACTGGTGATGAGAGGGCATCCTCTGGGTCCTGTCTCTATCCATCTTTTGCATAAAATTATTTACGGGGGAGTGGGTGAACGAGCGTGCTTATCAAGAGTTTTCTTTGTAGAGATATAATTAGCATTCAAATTCCTCATCCTGGCTCCCACATCTTCTTTATTTTTCAAAGCTTTTTGTAGTGGTACACTGCAAAATCACTACTTTGCAAATATGTTTCTAAACAGAATTCCATCAGATTCACTGATGAATAACATGAAAAATACAGATCAGCATAGAGGATGATTGAATGATCTGCTCTTTTATGAAATTACTGAATGGCAATTAAAAGGAAGTGCATTTTCATTCATAGCTGTTAATCCCATTCATGAACTATATATGCTGCACTCAGCTGTATGGCATATGGCAGCGTCATTACTAAATTAAATTGAATTTATGAAAAGTCAACCCTGATATTTTGCACGAATGAACTCAACTAACAGAGGTAAGCAGAGTTCTGTGTGCCTCAGAAACTGCATGATTAATTTTCTTTTAAAGAAACCAAACTTCCTTTCAGAAGCCAAAACATTTTCAAGTCCAGGAATAAACAGCAGATGCAAGACCTTGGTGGATGTGTGGAACTCTAAATTGCTGTGGAGTCACAGAGGCATATTGTACCCTTCTTCTACAGACAGAATTCCTTAGGGGAAGCCAGCGCCTCAAATGAGGATCTGATTCACTGTAATCCTCAGGCAGGTATAGCTTCGGCAGTGTCCTTTTATTGATGGAGTGCCAAAACGCCTTGCCCAGCGTGGAGGCAGGCCAACGAATGCCGGCTCACTACAGCAGTTTGCTTTGATGGTCATCCCTGCATTTCAACATCATGTACAATTAAAAATCTTATAAACTATGACATCATGACATCATAAGGTTTCTAAAGCAGGCCATAAAAACAAACTAAAACCCCCTGAAAACTGCTACTAGTTTTTGTGTCCCAACAGAATTTAAGAAGTTGCCACTTAGGTGCTATCTATGTGTACTCATGCATAAAAGGAAATGTAAGGAATTAAGTTGTCTATAACATATACTTGAAAATAATTGTCATTTTTAATATTTTTTAAAATGACAAAATGCAAAAATTTATAGTAAGCACTCTGTATGAATGTTCTGAATACTTTAGATATTCTCAACTTCGAAGATCAGCATAATCTCTGTTAACATTATTACTGATATTTTCAGAGTCAGCAACTAAAGCATAGAGAGGGTTTTATGTATTTGTGCAAACCCAACAAACTCTAAAAATTGTCAGAGTCAAGGTTCTGACTGAGAATTACAAGATTCATGCAGTCATACTTTACCTGTATTACTGTGTATTCCAAATTTCTGGTTTTCAGTAGCTCCACTAAAATTCATGACTAATAAAAAACGAAGTGCTATAAAATGATTTTCATTTTTGTTCCTCAAAAGAAGTAATTTCTAAGGAAAGTCACATGGAGAGAAAACATTCTCTCAGGCTTTCACAGAGAGCACATTGGCCAAGCAATGGCAGTGACTCATCCACATGGCTGCACTGACAAAGGTTCTACAATCTGAGGTACAGGATCTCAGGATAAATCCTGAGGGGATTTCACTGACCTTCTCAGACCAAAAAGCTACAACTCTTGTTGCACAGGTCCTGCTTTATCTTGGTCTTAACCATCCAGTAGAAAAGTATGAAGACAAAATATAGGAAGTAAAGCCATGTTGTTATGTTGAGCTGTGGGGGACTCAGGTCAATAATTTCTGACATTGCCAGTTAAACAGAAGACCCAATGCTATTATGGGCTACTGGACTCTTTTAGAATATTTTGCTGAGTTTACACACCTATAATATTCAATAACGGAACTTAGAAAAAATGAGGTGTACCGATGAATGTCCATTTTGTATCTGTGTATTCAAAGTGGTTAGGATAGATACATAGTTGCATTCTCTAAATGAATAGAATGATTTGTTCTAATGGTGTTTGTAAATAGGATCTCAAGTCCGCATCTTGTACAGCAATTAACCACTAAGAAGAATATATGCAGTGTGTTATTTGTTGAAACTGTACTTACGATTTGATTTGAAACTGTCTCATTGCTATCTGTTTATCAATAAAATTTTGGGAAAAAAAAGAAATAATTTCTAACTAGTTAGGTTTTTGGTTTTTCTGAGGGTCACTTTAATAGCTTTAAGCACATGCTCATGTCACTTTCTTCACCTTCTAGCTTTGAGCAATGTCTTTTGAAGATTTGCTCTGAAAAGTCAGGGCTAATTTCGCTCGCACGTCCTGTGTTCTTTTCCTGAAATTTGTACATAATGAAGTCACTATTCTGAATTACTTTAGTATCAAGAAACTACTCCATGTTGAATTCTGCAAACAAAATCTTTATTGTGTGTGGTGATTTGGATAGGATCTGGCCTGTTCCCCTAATTTCATGTGCTAAAAGCCTAGTCCTCTGGGTGATGGTATCCGAGGTGGTAAAGCTTTCAAGAGATGGTGCATTGTGGTCACGGGCACCACTCTCAGGAGGGATCAGTGCAGTCTCAAGGAACCCCTATTGGTCCTCATGAGAGCAGATTGTTATAGGCTGGTCCTGACCCTGACTGTCTCTAGATTCTATGTCATCATGTGATTTCCCCATTTTTCACACACTTCTGCTCTGATGTCATTTACCAAGCTGTGATGTAGCAAGCCAGCGTTCACCACCAA